CCCATTGTAGACAGTCATGACTCACAGAGTTATTTTCAGAGGAATTTACTTGATGTATATTACATTTAAGTGTGAAAAATCACATATAAAGACTTTAAGAATTTTATCATAACCTGGTAGTATTTTTGAATGGTCGTGCATCCCGCCCTCAATTTCCCCTGAGACGGGAAAGCTCTGTATTTGTAAGTCTAAAAAGGAGCTTCAGATGACGCAAAATCACCATTTTGCATCATCGGAGGCTGTTGTGGTTAGAGGGGGTGAAACTACAATGCTAGTTCCTCATGTTTTCAACCTGCCCATGGGGTAGGGCCCACTGATTACAGACCAATCACAGATCAGTGGGTGGGACCTCACTCCCAGAATCTAAACTTAATGTCCGCCATATTGCTTGGAAGCTATTGCTAACAGGCTCTATGGAGAAAGTTGAGAAGAACTAAAGTATGATAAAAGTATGTTTCAACTTCAAACTGATGTGAAGGGGATTTTGAAGGTCTTGTGCTTCAATCAGATATTATCTCTATGAGCCGCAATATAGCGACGAGCAGTTGAGGCTAATTGAGTGGCCTGCGGTGCTGTGCATTCTGGGAGTTGTTGTCTTTCATCCACATGAGCCAAAAAGACACTTTCTGCCTTTTCTCGGTCAAGAAGGCACCATTTCATATTTCTACTACATATATGACCCAATGTCAGTACAGGTTCATGTTTCAGCTGGTGAAGTATCCCTTTAAGAGAATGAGGAAGTGAGAGATGTCGTACCTGAACGTTCCACAGCCACAGCTCTGAGCAGTCATCAGGTCCGCAGGCGATCAGGTACATGTCATCAGGACTCCACGCCAGGTAGGAAACCCCGTACGCGTGACCCTCCAGAGTCTTCATCAGCTTCAGCTGCTGGGTCTCCTACACACACACACACAGACACACAGACACACACACACACACGTCACTAACACATTGACTTTCCCCCACAACTCTGTCTGCTGCTGTGATGATGATGATGATGATGTCGTGACTGGTTACCGGGTCGACTTGCCACACGATCACCGTGGTATCTTTGGAGCCGGTGGCCAGTTTGGTGCCGTCGTTGGAGAACTTGCAGAACCAGACCTCGTTACAGTGTTCAGTGAGGATCTGCTGGGTGTAACACGGGAACTGTTTCCTGCACGACAGAAACACACTCACATGAGATCTAAAGCTCAGTCTGCCTCAGGGCTGTTACCCATCCTGGACTTTCCTCTGACCACAAGTCCCAGGTCGTTTCAATGGTTTCATGGTTGTTGCAGACTCTAATGTGAGCTGATTTTATGCTACACATGTGATAGAGGGCATAAGAAATGGAATAAATAGTGATTGTACACACATTTTTGGGCAGTTTCTAAGCCACACAGTCTGTAAAAACAATCAAACATTATTTGTTTAATGTTGAAATATCCGCTGTATGAGCGAGGTTGTTCAAATGTTTGATACTTTGGTATCTTCAGTAGGGCTGGTTAAAAATATCCATTCATCAATGCATTGCAATTTCAATTTTTCCCAATTCAATATCGATTCAGGGAAATCCTAAGATTGATTTTTCATTGCAATGATGCCCCTGTCCACTGGGGGCACTGTGGGTGCAGGGAATTCAGGTCAGGCACAATTGTGCACTTTAAATCATACTGTACTTTAATGTTTTATTCTTTTTTTTTTTAAATTAAAGATAATGTATAAAGTAATACAAAGATAAAACACACTTTTGAGTCAGTTTGTTCCAAACCAATACCAAACCAATGCACACATAAATATTTAAAAAATATAAAAAAAAAGGTACTGTGATGAGTTATCTGGGTATTCATGTCATCTATGCGTATTATTAAATTGATATAGAAACATATTGATCGATATGGAATCGTGACCCAATGAATCGAACTCGAAATTGAATTGTGAGGTTGTGGACAAAACCCAGATCCAATCTTTAGAAACTCTGTGATATCAAAAGTTACAGAAACGGAGGACTGCATTCAAACAAAGGACACAACCTCTGTTATCAAATCATCATTGTTTCAAAAGCTTTAAAAAAACAAAAAACTGCAGGAGTGTGTCTGCTACTCTAGCTATTAAAATCAATATTGTATTTTTGCCTTATGGTTGGATTTTCACTAGAATGGTGTCAAAGTTTAACATTCTTCTTAGCTTAAAGGTGTGCTGCGGTCCTCACCGGCTGCAGGCGTGGTCCAGCAGCAGGGACACAGAGTCCAGACCCCCGTCCAGCTTGGTGTTGTGGTAGAGGCAGCGGTCCCTCTGCAGCTCCACCGCCTGCTTCAGCAGAGTCTGCAGGCGGCGAGGGGGCAGCATGACGGACGGAGGCAGGTACGCTGCAGAGAGGGGGCGGAGTTAGGAGAGGAAATGAGGAGTGACACACCACTGCTACATTTAGACCCAGATTTTAAGAGGAAGCAGAAGTTCAGAGAGGTTGTTGGAGGTGGTGAAATATTTGTAACTTGTCAGATAATCATTAGCAGGCAGGGTTGAATGCAGGGTCATGAAGTATTTGTGAAATGATGAAGACAGAGTGCAGGAGTTTGTCTGCAGTTTGAGGTCATTAAAAACAACATGACCCAGCATCGGGGCGCCTTGGACTTCTGCTCTTGTTGCCGTGGTACCGACACAGCTGTTCATATCTTTTGACTTGTACTAGTATCATATCGGAGTTTTTAAAAACTGTGGTATCGTGACAACTCTGGACAGTGCAGAGACACACAGTGTAACACACTTTCACATACACACAGTGTAACACACTTTCACAGACACACAGTGTAACACACTTTCACAGACACACAGTGTAACACACTTTCACAGACACACAGTGTAACACACTTTCACATACACACAGTGTAACACACTTTCACAGACACACAGTGTAACACACTTTCACATACACACAGTGTAACACACTTTCACAGACACACAGTGTAACACACTTTCACATACACACAGTGTAACACACTTTCACAGACACACAGTGACAGTAAGAGAACAAAAGAGTGTGTGATGTGTGTACAGTGAAGAGTGTGAGTCAGTGTTTACTCACTCTGGAGTCGGTCCAGCAGCTTCGTCCGGGACGTCGTGCCTTTTCCCTCCCACTCCGCTTTAACTCTCAGGTCCTCTGCATGACTACACATCAAGTACCTGTAACACACACACACACACACACACGATACAATGATCACTTATTGTTCTGATCCCTGCTCAGTTTAGATCCATCAGAGTAGTTAACAGTAGGTGTGGCCTGTGAAGTAGGTTATTTATCACTATTTATCTGGCCAGCTGTGGCTCAGTGGGTAACTGAAAGGTCGAGGGTTCGATGCCCAGCTCCTGCAGCCACATGTCTGATGCGTCGTTGGGCAAGACACTTAACACCAAGTTGCTCCTGCTGCTTCGTTGGCAGCGTATGAATGTGAATTAATTGGATTAGTTACTTCTGATGATTGTGTTCAGGCTTTTGTAAGTCAGACATGTTTAGTAGATTTGTGTTGTTTTTCTTCACAGTGTTACAGAAATCAAAGACACACACACACAAAACAACACACCACACATGAAGCCCTGGCTCCTAGAAATAAAAGAGAAAGAAACTCCAGACTTATATAATCGATTGATTTTTTAGCATCAATGTGCTGTGGGCTTTTTGTTCTCTCTCTTCAATGTTGAGTCAGCTTGTGATTTTCTGAAGCATCATAACTTCAGCAGGATTTTCGGCAGTGATCGTCACTGTAGGAGTTCAGATTAACGGCTCTTTACGGGAATTTACAGTCAACACTGACAACTGCCTGTAAACTGCCAGGAACTGCCGTAGATTGGCAGTATGAGTGAGTATCAAGCCCCTCTCCTGCCCCTATAGGACTGTTTGAGGGTTGAATGACATTATGCTGCCAGATACAGAAATGTGACTGAGCTCGCTCCACAAACAGGAAGTCACTTCTCATTGGTTGCTGCTCTAGCTGAACTGTAAACCCTGATTGTTCAAAGAAATTAAACAGATGAATCACCTGTAGTCATGAGGAAAGATTATGTGTCAAGTTCTTTGAGTATATCTCTATGTGTGTCTTTAGAGCGCTCCAGGGTCTGCATGCTAATATACTGAAGTCACTGTGGATGCTCCTCAGAGGTTCATCAGACCAAACCGTCATCTGAACCTCCCTCAGGATGTTTTTGTTGTAATTGACTCATGCTCGACGTGATGCTGAGTCAGGGTCCCCATGGAAACAACATATAAACAAACACAAATGAGTGTGTCAGCCTTGTGTGTGTGTGTGTGTGTGTGTGTGTGTGTGTGCGCACCGACCCGCTCAGGATGTGGATCCGCTCCGTGTTGTACTTCAGAGGAGTGAGTTCTGCTCGGAGGACCTGCAGCGCCTCCAGAACCTTCCCGTCCTCCAGGTACTCCAGATACTTCTGCTGCAGGAGCAGGAACTTCATCCGCTGCACAGGAGGACCAGCAGGGGGCGTTAGTGAGCACACATGTTTAACCAGACAACAGACGGCCTACACACTTTAAAAAAAAAAAAAAAATCTGTGTGGTTCTTTTGGTGCCAGATGTAATTTTAAACATTTATGAATCATTGTGCTCCATCTGTTATATCTTTAGTATTTCAGCCCTCCCTGATTATCTGTGATCTCTCTGTGACACTGATTCATGTCAACACTGCGTTCAAACATCGCCTAGTTTGAACACAATCTCTACTTAAATTTAAGCACCAACTGAGATTAAAAAAACAAAAGAACAAGCGAGCTGCATGGAGCAGAGGCGCTGCTTGTAAACGGGAAAGGGAGGCAAAAAGAAAAACTTTAAATCAAAGCAGCGGCCCAGAAATGTGCAAATTCTGCAATGAAAGTTCGTAACCTCCCTAAGGGGGCCCCATCTGAAGGCACTCACTCGTGTTGCTCTGCTATGTGTTGTGTGCATTATTGCTGTGAAAACCACATTTTCTGAATGAAAGTCAACAAAGAAAAATGAAGAGGAATTATCCATCTATAGGAGAGAAAAACAGGAAAAAAAGATGACGAGGAGGAACGTCGGGGACCCTGGCAGAAATAATAGCGATGTGAAACTTGGTTGGAGGGCCCCCCCAAAGACTCTAGAATCGCCACTGACAAGGAAAATGTGTGCTCAAACAGGCCGTTTGGAGATTTCCCCTTCATGACATCACAAAGGGCAGTAGCCCCTCCCCCAGGTGGGTGACACTCCCACAGCTAGGTGTTTGTTCTGCCCTCTGAGTCTGCCTTCTCACCGTAAACAATAAACAATAAGACATGGAGCGAGAAAGCCAGAGTACACCCAAGCCCAAGTACACCCAAGGGGGCGTGGTCAGACACAGCTCATTTACATATTTAAAGGTACATATTAAAAAAGGTATATAATATGTCCTTTTTAAATATCTCTGGAATCGCCACTGACAAGGACTTCTGCACGTCGTCTCGACTTCATGACATCAAGCTAGCGACAAAAACATTGCATTATGCCTTTCCTGTGTCTTCAAAATAAAAGCACTTCCTGTCGCATTGGCGAGTCGTTTTACACACGTTCCTGTTTTCAACATCTCTAAGATACACTAAGTGTAACGTGTAACACAGTATTTTGTTACTTTTAAGAAAGTAATTCTCAAAAAAGAGACTTCTGCTTCGTTTATGTTCTTCAGTCCGATCTAACCTGTGAGTGCATGCAGGAGTTTGATTTAGTTTTTTTTGACTTCTGTAACTCACCACGATGGCGCTCGGAGAATGCATCAACGCCTTCAGCTCGTTCAGGTCGCTCTCAGCCTGAACAAACACAGAGCACAATGCATGACTTTCATAGCTGATGAATGCGTGACTCCTGTCATGTTTTGGTGTGAATCCAGAGCGCGCACACACACACACACACACACCTTGTCCCACTCGCCCTCCATGACGTGGTTACGAAACTTGGTGGCAGACGGATGCTCCAGCCTGCAGCCGGACTCCTGCATCAGGAGGTCCACGGTCTGACTGTAACAAAAAACCACAGAGCAATCCAACACTTTTACTGAGGGGGCCAAACTGGGGCCAGTTGTTTTGCATTCATCACAGATATGTCAGTGGTGGAGGATATGTTTCACAATGTTTTCCTACATGCAAACCTTTCATACAGAACATATAATGCACCAAACAATGCTTGGGTTGATGTAGAGATGGAGTCATCATGTAGACTGCCAGCAGAGGGCGCTCTGACTCCAGAGTTTATAAACCTCTCTGCACTGTCTGCAGCAAATTCAGCAGAGCGTCACAGCAAACAAATTGGTTGAAAAACTATAGTTAGTAATGTCAGTTATCTTTAATTTAATAAATAGTTTCATAAAGCCAGTGTTAGATGACTATTGCTACAAAATCAACATAGAAAAGGTTTTTTTTTTTATGTAGTCCAAATTCACCTTTTTAAGTTTAATATTAATGGGGCTCATCTCTCTTTTTATTAGTTAATTTTCTGACAGAATATATATATATCAAGAAAGTTCTGACATTCATTTTAAAGCTTTTCACATGAGACAGGTCGCTTAAAAAGGAAATCTGACAAATCACTTAGAGGGATACTTCACCCGTTGAAACATGAATCTGTATTGACATTGGGTCATATATGTAGAAATGTGAAATACATTTTGAAGTTGGTGCCTTCTTGGCCGTGAAAAGGCAGAAAGTGTCTTTTTGGCTCATGTGGATGAAAGACACCAAATCCCAGAATGCACAGCACCGCAGGCTACTTCCACTAAGGTCAGGTTTACAGACATGTTTACTTCAACACATACGGCCGTTTCCTCAACTGATTCAGAGATTTCTTCCAGAATTGATCTTGTAAAGTCCTGTCAGAAAACAGACTCTATGTCTGAGTCCATAGACAAACAGTGAGAGCACCGACACTACCAGTCCACCCCAGCTTGAGCCGGCCTGGCAACGTGTGTCTACCAACCCACAAAATGTGAAATAAACCCATCCAGTCCTTTGTTTGTGGTCTGCATAAGTCTTACAACTAAAAAAACAAAAAAAAAGCTCAGTTTCAAAATTGATCTCCTTGTGATGTCACAGTGGGATTCTGGTAAAAAACAAACATGTGTCTCTAGTCCATCTACAAACCCCCCAATGATGAGAAAAGTCCATCCTCTCCGTCTTTCACCTACTCCACTTTTCAGAAAATGTGTGCTCAAACAGGCCATTTGGAGATTTTCTCTTCATGACATCACAAAGGGCAGTAGCCCCTCCCCCAGGTGGGTGACACTCCCACAGCTAGGTGTTTGTTCTGCCCTCTGAGTCTGCCTTCTCACCGTAAACAATAGGACATGGAGCGAGAAAGCCAGAGTACACCCAAGTCCTTCCAGAGAGGGGGCGTGGTCAGACACAGCTCATTTACATATTTAAAGGTACATATTAAAAAAGGTATATAATATGTCCTTTTTAAATCTCGAAATCTCAGATTTTTCCCCCTAATGTGCAATACTCAACACTTTGTAACATGTTTAAATCCCTTTTTTCAATTAGTGACTTAAGTAGCGTTTCGATTCCCAAGCCCTAACATACAGAAAAATAGCATTCATGGTGTGTGAGTTTTGTTTATTCTGATTAACCCTTCACTTCTTCATCACTGCATGTGATCATAAAAGATTATTTTCCAACATGTGCTAATGCAAAACTTATTAAAAAGGCAAAATAAATCATTACCCTCCCACAACAAACGCCATTGATAATCTAGCATCAACTCTCTGTCCAGACTTGACATGAGTTAGTGAAAGCTCAGGGTGAAGTCATGCCCCAGCAGGCTGAATGTGATTATAATGACGGCTCATGTTACTGCAGAACGAGGATGACAGGAAGAGAACCTGTTCAGAAAAAAACTACAGCGCAGGACTGAATGTTCAGAGTGTCCCATACAGCTCTATGGAAACTGTGTTGGGTGTGTTGTGTGTTATTGTGTTATTAACAGCTGCCTGATTCACCTGTCAGGTATAATGCTAATAAATCAGCTCTGTATTGTAGAGCACACAGCACTAAATCGGCTGTTTTCTCAGTGAGGTTTGGTGCCTGTCAGATCAGCTGTTTGTAACATTGAGCTCTGTTTAATAACATAAGAGCACACAGCACTAAATCGGCTGTTTTCTCAGTGAGGTTTGGTGCCTGTCAGATCAGCTGTTTATAACATTGAGCTCTGTTTAATAACATTAGAGCACACAGCACTAAATCGGCTGTTTTCTCAGTGAGGTTTGGTGCCTGTCAGATCAGCTGTTTATAACATTGAGCTCTGTTTAATAACATTAGAGCACACAGCACTAAATCGGCTGTTTTCTCAGTGAGGTTTGGTGCCTGTCAGATCAGCTGTTTATAACATTGAGCTCTGTTTAATAACATTAGAGCACACAGCACTAAATCAGCTGTTTTCTCAGTGAGGTTTGGTACTCCCGAGGACAACATGTCCACAGGTGATCTACAGGATGGATCTGATGGATCCTCCTCTGACAGTCAGCCGGTTCGGCCCGGCTGCTGGCACAGTGACTTACTTTAGCCCCAGGTCGTGTAGATGTTGTCCTATGAGCCGGATCACGTCCTCCTCGGACTGGGACAGCCGCTTCTTCTTCTTCAGGCCCGGGCTGGCCTCCGCCGGGTTTCCGCTGTTGTTTGACCCGGGCTGAACCGGGACTCCGTTGTTGTTGTTGTTGTTGGTGACGGACAGCAGCCCGTTGGAGTGAGCGTCCCCGGCGGCGGCGGCGTCGCCCGAGGAGGAGGACTCTCCGTTCTGAGCTCCGTTTCTGCAGGACAGCTCAGAGTCCCGATCCTGATCCTGTCCGGCCCCGTTAGCCTGCATGTTGCCGGGTCAGAACAAGGGTCCAGAAGTGTGTAGAACCGGATGACACTGCGGGGGTATCGATCGCGTCGTCACAGACACCGACAGGCCCACTGACCCAGATGCAGCCCCGCACTGCCCTGCTCCCCCTGCGGTCGAGCTTTCAGACGGTTGGCGGTGACCCGGTTCTGAACCCGTAGGACGGACGGTCAGATCCAGGATTCAGTGGACCCGCTTCATGGTGGGGTTGTCGGTGGTTTCGGTCGCTGTCAGGTTCTGGTTACGCCGCGGTGAAGTAGTTGAGTACAGCTTGTTATTGTTGCTCTCAGACAGCTGCAGCCCTGTTATGGACTGACGCACCGACGTCAGCGGAAATTCCTTCACGTTTTTTTTTTTGCGTGAGCTGCGTCACCACCAGAGGGCGCTGGAGGAATATTTACAGTCCACGGCAACACGTGCATTCATTTATGTTTTATATTATGTTTTGTTATGTTTTTTTTCTGTGTCTGAGTGACATTATAAATCTGTTACATTTCAAAGATAATATATATATATATATATATATATATATATATATATATATATATATAATATATATATAAGATAAAATGTTTATTCATTTATTTACTTTATTCATTCAAAATCGTTCATCCTCTTCCCAGTCAGATAGCTCCCTGAGTTTTTATATTTTTAAGGACTTTGTGACTAAAAGTCTGAAAGTTTTTCAGTCTGTTCTTTAATTGAATTCTGTTCTTTTTATTTATTTAACTCTATTTAACTTTAGTTTAAGCTTGCATGTACAAGCTGCTCCAAACAAATTGTCTCCAGAGGGATACAAAAAAAAACTTACTGCACTAAGTCATAGATATAATTAGATTCGAAACTTCAAAATTACTGGTTCATAAAGCTTTAAAGATCGTTCCTGTTCTTATGGTTTGTTTAATGAATCATTTATTGTCATTGCTATAAAAACAACAAAAGGCAGTTTAGCAGCTTTTGCTCAAAGTTACTGGATTCATTATAAACTGTTGTCAGCCTTTGGGAGAAAAAAGTGTTTGATGCTGCGAGTCAATCTTTTCGAGAACAAAAAGATTGCTCTGAAAAGTTATATTTGCAAAACAAAGGAATATATGACTTGAGTCTTTAAAAATCAACTTAATGACTTTAGTAGAGCACACAGGGATGTTGTGATGCCAGAATCAAGAACTTAAAGATCACATATCCTCCTTCTCTACTTCAGTTTAAATAAGTCTCAGAGCTCTTCAAAACATGTGTGTGAAGTTTCTTGTTCTAAATCCACTCTGATCCTGTATTTGATCATGTCTATAAACCCCTCTATTTCAGCCCTGCTCAGAACAGGCTGTTTCTGTGTCTGTACCTTTAAATATGTAAATGAGCTGTGTCTGACCACGCCCCCTCTCTGGAAGGGCTCGGGTGTACTCGGTGCTTTCTCACTCCATGTCCTATTGTTTACGGTGAGAAGGCAGACTCAGAGGGCAGAACAAACACCTAGCTGTGGAAGTGTCACCCACCTGGGGGAGGGGCTACTGCCCTTTGTGATGTCATGAAGAGAAAATCTCCAAACGGCCTGTTTGAGCACAAATCTTTCTGAAAAGTTGAGCTGGAAGACGGAGAGGATGGACTTTTCTCATCATTGGGGGGTTTGTAGACGGACTAGAGACACATGTTAGAGTTAGAGGAACATGGAGAAGTTTATTTTACATAATGTGACCTTTAAGTGCAAAGTAGTAAAAACTTTTGGTTATAAAAAACAAGGAACTCATCATTGGGGGGTTTGTAGACGGACTAGAGACACATGTTAGAGTTAGAGGAACATGGAGAAGTTTATTTTACATAATGTGACCTTTAAGTGCAAAAGTAGTAAAAACTTTTGGTTATAAAAAACAAGGAACTACCCACTATTTTTTTTACTAATATGGTATAAAAGTTTAAAATTCTGGTGTTGAGACCACCTTAAAATAACTTTTACTTTGTGTTACAGTCTGAAAACTCTACTGTAGCCCTGAAACAATATAAATAAAATAACATTTACAGTAGATTATATGCATCTTTTGACATTTTCATGATTTTTAAGCATCTTAAAAATGTTTTAATTTTTGTTTTTTTTCTGCTTGGAGTGAAAGAGACACAGAGGACTCGTCTTTATCCAACTTTATTTATCAACTTACATTATGATGACAAACGACTGAAATGAAAAGAGGGCACATTGACTGAGACGTTCTTGAAAAAACAGGACTACAGCAGACCCGAACCTACAGGGAGGTCTAATCCAGTCCACTAAAAACCGAGACGAGGAATCAAATCTAACGACATCCAGAAACACACACTGACTCATGTTTGAACCACCGCCGCCCCGCTCACCCTACACATGGCACTTTTAAGTCGACGCATGTTGGTTCTTAGCTCTAAAAAAAAAAAAAGTCTGCACAGACCGAAAAACCAGGACCAGAAATAAACAGAACTAGGACACATTATTCAAAGTGCTCCCCCCCCCCCCCCCGCCCCGCTCCGCTCAGCCTGAGATTCTTTAAATATAAACCAGGAGCGGTCCATGTTGTGTGGCTTTAACATCTGAACCATCCTGCTCTCTGTCGTTGGCACTTTCACATGTAAGAAAACATCAGCGGTGTCTGCAGACATCTGAACTGTGTAAAATCTATGTACAGCCTCCTCACCTTCTTTATAATAGAACTAAACTACTGTATAAAAATATGAGTTGGGGGAGGGGCTGAACGTCTGCTTCAGAGAGGAGGGACTCAGGTTTGTAGAAGAAGAAACTATTGCACTTTGATTCCGTCCTACAAGAGACACTAATGACCTTTACAATCAGCAGAAGACAGAACTAAAGACACCCCCCTCAAACCCCACCACACCCCTTATACTGTATATAACATGCCATTCTCCTGTATGGCACTGCTGCTGTCCAATTAAATATCGTTAATAAATTCACACTGTCAGGAGGGTTCCCTCATGCCTTCATATTTGGTGTGATGTCACAATCACGGGCCGCACAGTCAACCTGTAACCCGGTCCAAACAGCGGCTTCAGTGCTCGTTTTAAGGAGGGGTGAAGATTGCTTCATCCTGCAGCCTTCACTTTGACACATTCGCCCACAAAGATCACGCTGCAGCCTCACACACTGTTTCACTGCTGCAGGCTGATGATGACATCTACTGGAACCAATCAAACTCTTTGAGTGCCTTTAAGACCTTCAGACCCCGAAAGGCATGAAAAAGCCTGGTTTTAAAATATTGGAACTACCCTTTAAAAGGTATTGACAGATGTCCATTTTTCCACCTGCATACTTCATATTGCACTTCATCATATCCCCAAACTTCTCCTGTACTTAAACACATAAACGTATCAAAAAAAGAAAAAAGAAAGTTAAGCCGGTTTCCAGCTGGGATTAACATGACGTCTGTGTCTGGATATTCTGCTGCAGGTGTGAAATACATCTCTAAAGTCTGAACAGATTAAGGACGTCTCCTTCCTGCTCTGTGAAGCTGCACATCAGAGACAATCAGGTGTCATCAGGTGAAACTTCCCCCGCAAGAAGTGATTAAAAAGGATTACGCAGGTCCAAGAAGAACAAACAGAATCAACAAAAAAACAAATGTTGAGGTGGTCTGACTCTCCTCATGCTGAGCTGTGAACTCAGTGAAGAAGCCCGTGATGTTTAATGACCTCAGAATGGGACGTCACATCATGTTAACACCAGGAGGAAACACAGGCTGCAAACATGTTCAGATGTATACATCCATCATTTCTGTTTGATTCACATCCCTTTGTTTCACTCTTCTTTTCACTTAAAACAAACATGAAGTAAAAGGAACATTACAGTTTATTACAACATTTTTAAGATCATCCCAAACTTGGGTCTGGGCTTCCCTTGGGGGGAGGGGGGGCAAAGATTTCAGGGGGTTGCGAGGCTCTGTCTGCTGTGAAGTCATCAAAATAAGATTTGCACATATTAACCCCAAACTAGGACAACTAATTTACTGGATACTTTATTTAAAGGTCTGCGGATAAAAATGTGAAAAATATAAACTTCATCTCTCTTAAATATCAGCGAGGGATTCTCCCTTTCACACACTTTTGTAAAAAACCTCTGATCCAAACCATGTGATGTGCAGACTAACGTTTAGAAGTTGTAATAAACTGTAACGCTCCTCTAACGGCAGTGCAGTGACGGCCTCCTGCCTGTAGGGGGAGCAGTGGGATCCTTCAGATGAATGAAAACATGGTGATCGGCTGTGAGAGGCACTTCCATCGATCCACAATCGTTTTTTTTTTTTTTTAAATATTTCTACCCCCCTCCCCTCCCCTCAAACACACATTACACACACATAACACACACACAGTGTGTCGTCCTTCATGGTTCAGAGCAGAAACTTCCAGAATCCAGAGACCTCATCCTGGATCAGTTTTTAGAAACAATACTTTACCTGCGGAAAAAAATACACTGTGAGCGATGCACACACTCTTTTACACACCGACCACACGGGGTCAGGTGTGTGTGTCACATGCTGGACTCTCATTGGTCCACGTCCTACATGTTCTCCCCCTCCCCCTCCTCCTCCTCCTCCTCATAAGAGTCAGCAGGTTCAGGTTCATGGAAGAGTTCTGGAGATGAGGGCTGAGGTCCAGCAGTGAGACCAGGTGTCCAGAAGTCAGGTAGTGTTAGTGGGAGGAGGGGATGGCACTGAGTGAGTGTGTGTGTGTGTGTGTGTGTGTGTGTGTGTGTGTGTGTGTGTGTGTGTGTGTGTACGGAAGCCCTAAGCAGACATACATCCATTGATTTTATGTTCTCTGTTTTCCTGTGATAAAGAGTTAATTTCAGCCAATTTTTGGAGATCTCACAAAATTAAATTGTTATCAGAAAATAACCAGGAATTTACTCGTTATCACGATTAGAGCAAATGGATGTATGTCCACTTAGGGCTTCCATATGTGTGTGAATCTGTAAGACGTCTATTTAAAGAGATAGAATCAATCACATTATTTAACTCGCGTCAGTTCGATTAAATTCATTTCCTTCGGTTTTGCATGAAATAAAACTGAACGAGGTCGAGTGTTAAAGTTTTGGATTTTCTTTGTAGCCGTATCATGATTGATTAATTTTTGATTGACAGCAGCAGGAGCAGCGTCACCGACACTTGAGTTAGCATGGTTAGCATGTTAGCATGAAGCTGTTTTACATTCAGTGTGACTCATTGTTTAAATCCAACATGATATTTAGATTTCTAAACGACCTCTGCTGGATCAAATCTCTCTCCATAGACAGTGTGAGTGTGAGTGTGTGTGTGTGTGTGTGTGTGTGTGTGTGTGTGTGTGTGTGTGTGTGTGTGTGTGTGTGTGAGTGTGTGAGTGTGTGTGCGCTCCTTAGCTGTCCACCACCTGGTGTGGCAGCGTGACGGAGGAGCCGTTGATGAATGAACCCTGTTTGTCTCGTCCCTTTAAGAAGAACGTCAGCAGTTCTCCTTTCCCCTTCACAAAGATCGGCCCCCTCCTCACGAAGCGGAAACCGTACTCCTTCAGGATGTTGTAGCAGTCCTCCACCACCTGGGGGCAGCACACACACACACACACACACACACATACACACACACACACAGTACATCAGCTGTTTTTACTGTGTGAGTGATGGAATCAGCGTCTTTGATCAGAGCGGTGCAGTGAAGTCGGGATGTGTACCTGGATGTTTCCCATCACCCCCGTGGACTCCATACGACTCGCCACGTTCACAGTGTTCCCCCAGATGTCGTAGTGGGGTTTCCTCGCCCCGATCACACCTGCTAACACTCCGCCTTTGTTCAGACCTGCAGGAATCAGAAGTCATGAATGTATGAACAATGATCAACTGTTAAGACCTTACCTGAGAGAACCAGGCTCGAATCCTTATTTCAATCTAGCTCAGGTCTTTATTGTCATTTAGATCAGAGAGAACTCCCATGATTCCCCGCCAGCCTCATCGTCATTGTTAGTTATTGTATTGATTGAGAGTCCTCTGTTTTTCTGATGAAACTGATTAAATGAACCTGACTGACAGCAGTAAAAACATCAAACTCACACAGACATGATGAGTAAAGGGTTAGCGACGTACCGATGCGCAGCATGAAGTTGTTGAAGGACTGGTAGTTAATGTTCATCAGCGTGACCTTCATGGCCAGAGCGAAGTCTGCGAGGTCAGCCAGGTGCTGCCATCGCTCTCTGTCCGACTGATCCTCCTTCTGAGCGACTCAAAACAAACTACAGGTTAGCATACAGAGCAAACTACAGGTTAGCTTATAGCGCAAACTACAGGTTAGCAGACAGAGCAAACTACAGGTTAGCAGACAGAGCAAACTACAGGTTAGCAGACAGAGCAAACTACAGGTTAGCATACAGAGCAAACTACAGGTTAGCATACAGAGCAAACTACAGGTTAGCATACAGAGCAAGCTACAGGTTGGCATACAGAGCAAACTACAGGTTAGCATACAGAGCAAACTACAGGTTAGCATACAGAGCAAACTACAGGTTAGCATACAGAGCAAGCTACAGGTTAGCATACAACTACAACTACATATCAAACTACAGGTTAGCATATAGAGGAAACTACAGGTTAGCAGACAGAGCAAACTACAGGTTAGCATACAGAGCAAACTACAGGTTAGCATACAGAGCAAACTACAGGTTAGCATACAAATACAACTACATATCAAACTACAGGTTAGCATATAGAGGAAACTACAGGTTAGCATACAAATACAACTACATATCAAACTACAGGTTAGCATATAGAGGAAACTACAGGTTAGCATACAAATACAACTACATATCAAACTACAGGTTAGCATATAGAGGAAACTACAGGTTAGCATACAAATACAACTACATATCAAACTACAGGTTAGCATATAGAGCAAACTACAGGTTAGCATACAGAGCAAGCTACAGGTTAGCATACAGAGCAAACTACAGGTTAGCATACAGAGCAAACTACAGGTTAGCATACAGAGCAAACTACAGGTTAGCAAACAGAGCAAACTACAGGTTAGCATATAAAGCAAACTACAAGTTAGCATACAGAGCAAACTACAGGTTAGCATACAGAGCAAACTACAGGTTAGCATACAGACCCTAACCCTAACCCAACTTAAATAGCTACAAATAAAAATAAAGATAAAACTACAGCTAGAACTACAACTACAGCTAAAGATAAAACTACAAGTCAGACTATAGGTAGAACTACAGCTACAGAAACAACTTCATCTACACTTCAACTACAGCTACAGCTATAGATCAAACTACAGGTTCCACTACAACTGAAACTGAAGGTTAAACTATAGATACAATAACAACTACAAGTCAAAACTACTTCTTAAAACTACAGATTTAATTATTGATCTAACGATGACTAAAACTACGACTACATACTGACACACTGAGACACAATGACACTCAAACAGACGCAGAAACAAAAGAGACCACAGAGAGACAGAGACAAAGAACACACACACGCATGCACGCACGCACGCACGCAAGCACGCACGCACGCACGCACGCACACACACCTTCATACAGCTGTATCCGTTGCTGACGTCTGGAGTGACTCCTGAAGCGGCCATGTACGTGCTGCCGATCGTCTTTATTTTGGTGATGCAGCGAAACTGAGGCTCATCCAGCAGCTGACAGGGACAGATGTTTCACAGACAGATGTTTAGGGTTACACAAACTGGAAATGAAACCATTTCAAACAACTACTGTAGTTTTCGTCAGGAGCTAAAGTTAGCTAATGTTAATGCTGTAATGTTAGCAGGATAATTAGTGAACGGGATTTTAATTCGTCCATGGTCTTAAACTGAGTTCAACTGGAGACACTCACACTGTCGAAGTCCGAGATGATCTCGTTGAGGAAGCGGAGACACTCGATCCCGCCGTTGTTGATGCTCTCCTCGGTGTAGAAGTCAGAGAAGTTTGGGATGGAGGCGAACATGACTCCGATCTCATCGTACGACTGACTGTACAGCTCCTGGAACACAGAGAGACACATGAAATATGAAAAGTCATTCTGTAAGAAAGCTTCAAATAACTGCAGATCTTAAGTCACATTTTCAACACAAAAGCTGGAGAGAGCAATTTTGACGCCCAGATTTCTATTTTTGTTGTTGTGATGTTGATATTATTAAATTTGACAAGATTGTTTATTATTATTATTTGACCTTGTGTGTGACTCTCTCACCTCGTCTCTCTTCTTGGAGCCCAGGAAGTGTCGAGCGACGTGTTCAGGCAGCATGTTGGTCACCAGAGCTTCGTTCCAGCGTCTCATCTCGTAAACTTTCTCCTTCTGTTCATGGACCTCGATCTTCCACAGGAACAGAGTGCGGGCCAGTTTCTCCACCTGAAGGAACACCAAGCACCAGGAGTGTGATGTGTCTTTCTGTCTAAATATTTCATCAACAACAAGAAATAAAGGGCCTCTGATTGTAGCTCAAGTGTTTGTTGGTTAGTAGCTTTCCGCTGCCTTAAAGATGAGAAAGGTCCATCCTCTCTGTCTTTTCCCTGCTCCACTTTTCAGAAAATGTGTGCTCAAACAGGCCGTTTGGAGATTTTCCCTTCATGACATCACAAAGGGCAGTAGCCCCTCCCCCAGGTGGGTGACACTCCCACAGCTAGGTGTTTGTTCTGCCCTCTGAGTCTGCCTTCTCACTGTAAACAATAGGGCATGGAGCGAGAAAGCACCGAGTACACCCAAGCCCTTCCAGAGAGGGGGGGGCGTGGTCAGACACAGCTCATTTACATATTTAAAGGTACAGACACAGAAACAGCCTGTTCTGAGCAGGGCTGAAATAGAGGGGTTTATAGACATGATCAAATACAGGACCAGAGTGGATTTAGAACAAGAAACTTCACACACATGTTTTGGGGAGCTCTGAGACTTATTTACACTGGTTAAAAAGAAGAAGAATATGTGTTTTAATAAAACAATAACTGACTAATGGGTTAAAAATGTGCATATTTTACTTTTCAAAATATGGGTGATGAACGTCTACTAACAAATGCATCAGTCTACAATTAACAATGACAGTGGCACCATATAGTACCATTGATGGTGAGTGTGAACCTCCAAAGTCATCCATGATTTCTGATTTCTTGTCACCAGTGGACGCAGAATGAATCATGATGCAACCACAAGGTGTGCGGCAATATTTAATAAAGAAAATTAAAAAACATTAATTAAATTAATTAAACATTGGCTAAATTCAAATGATTATTAATAAATAAAACGTTTTGTTTTTAAGAGGAAACTTTAAAGGCTTTATATGTGATTTTTTGATCCAGCAGATGTCACCAGATTTCACCAGCATGAAACCAAAACAACTCGCGGTGCATTGTTGTGTTAGCATGCTAATGCTAGTGATCTTTATTATGCTGGTATCTTCACACTGCATGTAAATTTACCTGAAATGAGCGTGATCTAGAAACACAGTTAAGCAGTGAGTACAGTATGTTATTCTTCTTTTCTCTAGTCCCTCAATTAAACAACTTTTATACTCGAGGGGAGGAGTCAGTCGGCCGTCCGGGCGATGTAAACAAAGTGAAGATAGGACTCTGAAAACTCTGAAAACATCACAGACAGTGGGACTCGGGTGTTACACCCATTGTAGACAGTCATGACTCACAGAGTTATTTTCAGAGGATATACTTGATTTATATTATATTTAAGTGTGAAAAATCACAAATAAAGCCTTTAAGTAAATAAAGTGATCAACATTTTTCACGGGCTTATCAGCACTCAACCCTGCATGAGTCTGATGTTGACAGTTCCTATGTTTTGTTCTTTGAACTAATCCCTGGTCCAGGTAAGAAAGCATTGGTGTAAGTGGGTTTGAAGAAGAAGAAGGCATGCGGGAAAGTATTCCTGAAACGTGCATCTTATTTTTCCAGTTTTGTTTCCATCACAGATCAGAATGTCTGATCCCGTCTGAAGGTTGGGATCAAACCACAACATATGTATCACACCTGTTTTCTTTATGTGAAGTGACATGTTAGAAGCTGACTTACATGTCTGGAGAAATAGTAGAAGCTGACCATCATGATGAAGATCATCACTGACATGGTGAACTTGGAGGGAACCAGGGAGGACCTGATCGGAGAAACACAAACCTGTTGTCACTTCTGTTTTGTAATGGCCGTCTGTTAAAGTAACAAACCACATGAATCTGCTTCCTGTCTCACCTGTAGTCCTGGAAGCGGGCCGAGTCGTAGTGGTCGAAGATTTCCCTCCAGCTGTAGATGTTGACGATGCCGGTTGCCACGGTGATGAGCAGCATCAGCGTGAGCTTCACCATGTGACTCACCTGAACCAGCATGGTGGTGGCCATCAGGGCCAGCACAGCGATGTAGCTGTAGTATTTAGGGTTGTCATGGCAACCATCGGGGCTGGATAAGGAGGAGGATGAGGACGAGGAGGAGGAGGAGGGGCCCACAGTGGGGCTGCCTGAGGCTGAGACTTTAGGCAGACAGCTCAGCTGGACCGAGGAGAGAGAGAGAGAGATTCATCACATCAAAACTATTTCTAAATTTGTTAGTCAGCAGCCTCACAAAAATCCATTAACCCTGAACAAATAAAGTCACATATCAGAACTCTTAGTTTTAGCTGAGGGATTGTAAGACTCTGATGTACCGGTAATCAATTAAAGGAGTCTAATCCTCATGGTAGTTTTAATGACTTGTACTTCAGTTACAGATAAAAAACAGTAGTCAAAGTCTTCCTGACACTTTAATCTCATCCTAAAAACTTTCTTTTTTTTAAATTACTGGCGCCTGGTTTACATGCAGAACGACCGCCAGATGGTGGCTTTAGTGCATCAGAACACTGTTTACTTTGCGCCATTAAATAACAAAAGAAGAAGAAAACACGACCTTTCAGGTGACGCAACTGTAGCTAACTGTAACTAACTCATAATCTCTTGATTTAAGGAACGATAGATTCTACTCAGACTGCATACAGTCTGATGATTTTATTTAATATTGTTTGTAAAAATTGATTGTACAAGCATTATTGTTTGTGTGTTTGTGCATTGTCTGTGTATTGCCTCTTATGGCTTCCTCTCATTTTCTTTTTGCCACTTGTACCTTGTCATGTTTATTTCACCAATAAAAGTACGGATACACTGATACTTAATCTCTACAGTAAGCCTGTTTGAGCAATTTCAATTTCTGTATGTAATTATGTACATCCTGTTGCATACAGTGTGTGTGAGAAATCCCCCCCCACCCCCGGAGAATATTTACATTTTTTCAAATAATTGCCAGTGACTTTCTAATCGCAATTCTTTATGAAATGCCTCTTCGTACATTTTTTATTTAGCTGACTATGACTAGGCTATAGTCCTACAAGCGGGCAGCCTGGGTTCAAACTGACCTGTGGCTCCTATCCCGCATGTCATTCCCCTCTGTCTGTCTCTGATTTCTGACTCTATTTACTTTCTGTGTGGCGCTTTTTCTCGACTAATCTAACTTCTTTGACATTTTGATCACTCTGTTCTTATATAAAACATGTAAATGGTGTCCCGCAAGGGGTCCATACTGGGTCTACTGTACTTTTTATTTATGGTATCCACAACGACTATTTTAGCAATGTTATTAATACAAAAATACATTTTATGCAGATGACACCCTTGTGTATATTCTGTTATTTCATAACTGTTGCACTCGAGGAACTAGAAGATAAAAAGAATGATGTTCAGAGGAATCTTTGTGAATTAAGGCTTAAACTCTCCAGGTTAAAGAAATTAGCTGAGTGTTTATCAGAATGTTACTTTAATCAACGAGGTGATCAAACATGTCTTAAATTACAAATACCTGGGTTTAATTATCAGAGCAATCTGTCCTTAAACATTTAGAAGTAGAGAGTTAATGTAACAATCAGCTCACCATGTCAATGATGTCGGCCATGGTGAGGATAAAGATGGCCGCCATCGCCCATGTGTTTCGAGCCCAGCGAGTGTGGTCGATCCAGGTGGAAAAGGACACCAGCTTCTTGGGAAACACCTGACACACACACACACACACACACACACACACACACACACACACACACACACACACACACACACACACACACACACACACACACACAGAAATCCAATTAGGAATGTTTAGCACTTTAACACAAGGACTGGAGTCATGCAGAATGACGTCATTCATGAAGTTTATGTTTTTATACTTAAGCTGAGTAGTCTCATTTTGCTGTGTGAGGACTATGACTGTTGATATTCTGACGTCCTAACATTAAATCACACAAAAAAACCTGAGCATTTTAAAAAGTTATTCGTTGCTTTGCACTTGCAGACAGACGTGACAAAGCATTAAGAATTGACTCCACATTTGGTCTGAACACGTGTTGACCAAACCACATCCATATCCTGGATCGGGGACGCCTGGAAGCAAACGTAATCAAAGTTATCATGAACACGTGTTTTTATTTATTCCTGATGCAGTGTGTATGACATGTCTGAATGTCAGCATTGACAGAGCTCAGAGCTCACATTCAGACACGTGACCGTTAATGGACTGACTGTGTTCATGGAAATGGTCTGTAGGCCCGAGGCTCTGTCATATTACAGCTCATATTGATGAGCAGAGAGCGGCTCAGAGCATCATTCACATCATCTCAGTGTGTGTGTGTGTGTGTGTGTGTGTGTGTGTGTGTGTGTGTGTGTGTGATTGATTAGCTGACTGTGTGCGTGGCTCTGACCGACTTCACTGCTGCTGCTGATGGTTATCAATAACTCTGACTTTCCATGATGAGGTGAAATCAAAAGCTCTGCTTAATGCAAAACAACCGAACCATACACACACCCGACCTCTGTGTGTGTGTGTTTGTGTGTGTGTGTGTGTGTTGTACAAGTGTGACAATACATACATACATACATAGAGCCATTTTAAAATCACCTTATCACCAATTTACAAAACTTTCTGTGTCTGTGTAAAGCTTAAATATCCGTATCAGATAAAACATGTTAAAGGAACATTTTCAAAAAGTCTTGAAACTTTGCACACTTATCATGATGCTGTAATGGTATAAATTGCATTCATCTTCCTGATTTGTCAGTTTAAACTGGCCACTCCACAGAAACAATGCAAATCCACAACCTGCAGGGAGGACCAGAGGCTGGCGGTGCCATCTCTGCTTTTGTTAGCCACACTCAACCATTGTTTACCCGCTGCTGCTGTGAGACCGTGTTTAGCCGTGTCAACAAAAAACAGGAAACTGTGCCCTCATTTGAATGTTTTTTTGAGTTTACTCATGTTGTAACTCACTCTGGGGAAGATGGCAGCCAGGGAACAGATCGTCAGGACGAGCAGCAGAACTTCTCCCACAGCAAACGTGATGTAGTTTGCAATCAGCCTGTTAAAGCACACACACAGACACACACACACACACGTTTACAATGATGCAGCTCCTGGTTGACATTAATCCAACATGTTTACAAAGCCGTGTGTGCAGACTCTGACCAGGGGTCTATGAGGGCCTCCATGGCTGCGGTGAAGAGCAGCACCACACAGGAGCAGCAGAAAGCCGCTCCGCTCTGCTTCTCCTTCTCCACAGAGTACCGGGTCTCCAGGTCCGGGTCCTCAAACCTCAGAGAGAGCCTGTTGGTGTGTTTCCCCTTCAGACTGAAAACACACACAAGAGAACCAGAGAGAAAAAAAACTCTGTTATGTTGATGATGCTTTAATATTCACACCAAAACAGTGCATTCAATTCATTATTACACCACTGAGAACTGACAGACTCTACCGGCTTCTTACATTGTTTGTGCATTATATGAATCAACGTCAAACTAAGGATCAACTGTTTTTGATAAATTAGTGCAACATGAGCTCAGTATCATTTAATAACCTGTATCACTGAGGCTGAAGAAATCAGGCTGAGGAAATCTACCGGAGTATTCTCAAAATGTTTGTACCTGTTGGACACTTAGAACCCTAAATGAGTAAAAACAGGACCCAGGTTTAGATTTTAGAGGAAAATGTGAGGAAGGAAGTTTTTTTCGGGAAGCAGTTTGATGGAAAAAAAGACATAATCCACCAAGCGTTCACAACCTGGTCTCTTGTCTATGCGTAATCAGTGCATCTTAATGGGTCTTAATCAAAACAAAGTACTGAATGAGTCGCAAAAGTGCCGTAACTAAGCTCAGTCGTCATTATGTCTTTGAAGATTTATACTGATTCCAAGAAGGAGTAATATCTGTGTCCCAGCCTGTGAGTTCACATTACATTTGAGGGTTGTGGAAGCACGGCACAGCGGGAGCTCCACATACACACACAGTCAGACATGCGCACACACACACAGCGCTGCGCTCCCCCGCTGACTCAGCTGACCCTGTAACGCCTCTTGTTACTAGCTACACAGACGATACCCCTCTGTGCACCAGGGGCGTAAATATTGCGGCTTTAAACTACAGTCTGAATAGGGCTGAAGTGTAAGAGTAGGGATGTTTCTTTTACATCCAATGCAGTGTTTCTTCATGTTTCAGACAGAGAGGAGTTATCATTAAGGTGATGTATAATCAGTGTTTCTTCATGTTTCAGAGAGTGGGGGGGGGGTGTCTCTTACGCCTGCACTGTCTCTCTCTCCAGCAGAGCCTCATTCAGCAGCTTGTTCAGCTCCTGCTCGTTCTCCTGGGCGTCGATCACTCGCTCAGCCAGGTCTCTCAGACGCAGCCTCCGCCGAGGGTTTGGGAACGATGGGTTCACCACCTGAAGACCACAGAACAAGTTTACAGTCCTGGATCTCCTTTTTAATGGTATGAGTACCAAATCACTGATATCAGTCAGCCTCAAATAAACTGCCACAAATATTTACACTCAGTCCTCATGTTATTTACAGATGACGTAACAGCATGAAGGATTTATAGGAAATCTGCTTGTGATGTCCTCAGGTTGAAACTTTGCACGGGTTCTGCTGAATATCACCAGTAAAAGTTTCTCTGTTACCTTGGTGTCGAGCTCCTCGGGCTCCTCGGGTGTGGTGCAGGCCGTGTTCACGCTTCCGTTACACTGAAAACTGTGCAGCGCTTTTTCTAGATTAATCTAACTTCTTTGACACTTCTGATCACTCTGTTCTTAGATCAAACATGTAAATGGTGTCCCACAGGAGTCCATACTGGGTCCACTTTTTATTTATAGTATCCACAACGATAAGTATAGCAATGTAACTGATACAAAAATACATTTTATGCAGACGACACCCTTGTGTATATTCTGTTATTTCTTAACTGATGCACTTAAGGAACTAGAAGATCATTTGAATGATGTTCAGAGGAATCTTTGTGAAGATTATTGAGGCTTCAACTCAATATAATGAAATTGAGTTTCTCCCGGTTAAATAAATTAGCGACATCCTCAGGTTTAAACTTTGCACGGGTTCTGCTAAATATCACCAGTAAATGTTTCTCTGTTACCTTGGTGTCGAGCTCCTCGGGCTCCTCGGGTGTGGTGCAGGCCGTGTTCACGCTTCCGTTACACTCTGTGGTGTTGATCAGCAGCGGAGAGTTTCCATTGGATGACGTCACAGACAGCTTCTGATGTAAACGAACAAACAAAACAAAAACAAACAAAGAGGAGGCAGAGAGTGAAAGTCATATATCCATATCCAAGATATCCAGATCCCTGCGCTGTGTGTGTGTGTGTGTGTGTGTGTGTGTCTGTGTCTGTCGTTGTTTTTTTTACTCACCACTCCGTTGATGCCGTTCTTGCCCACAGGTCCTTTAGGAACCACCACCAGGTACGTCTCGATGCCGCGCTCTCTCAGGTAGTCGCAGCGCTCTCCTCCGTCTCCCGGCTCGATATCAAACTCCCCGTGCAGACACTCCATGGTGCTCTGAGAGATGTGGACACGCCTGACACACACACACACACACACAGAGGGGTCAAAGATTAGCAACATTCTAACAGTTAGCATGAATGTGTGTATGTGTACGGTTCAGACGTCACGCTTCATGCAGTCAAGACAATGAATAAGTCTGAGTGGAGACAAAAGGCAGTCACACATGGCGGTATTCACACCGCAATCAAGGTGGCGTTAAAGCTCTGAACTTTTTTTTTTTTTTACCAACGGCTATTGAACAACAAACACAGGTGAACTCCAAGAGTGACACAGCACAAACTGGAAGACCCGCCTCCTTCTTTAAATCGGTCGTGCGGGGAAACTTCAGAGTTCTCAGTGCGGTACGTTGCTGGGAACGAGTTGAACATAGCGGTGAATATAAGACAGTGTCACCCAGAGGTGCCGATCACTGGAGCCAGGGAGAGGCGTCCGACAGATTATCACTACTGTTTTAAAAAAAGGGTGATGAAGGATGTGAGAGCAGAGAGGGTCGACGACATTCCTGACGCTAATTTGTTTTTATGCAGTAGTAGACGTCCTGGACTTTAAGTATTTATTAAAAGTGCTGGGGCGCTGGTGGCGCAGTGGTTAGTGAGCGCGTCCCATATATGGAGGCTGTAGTCCTCCAAGCGGGCGGCCCAGGTTCAAATCCGACCTGTGGCTCCTTTCCTGCATGTCATTCCCCTCTCTCTCTCTCCGATTTCCGGCCCTATCCACTGTCCTATCTCTCCAATAAAGGCACAAAAAAGCCCCAAAAGTAAATCTTAAAAAAATCCCATCCTGTGTGCACATAAGCCGGTCCGAGGTCCCTGCCTTACCCGGGTACAGGAACAAGTTATTGAGCTCAGTGTATCTGATGGACCTCTCGAGCTACTTCCTGCTACCTCACTGTGATCGCACATTTTGATCCACTCGGAGTGATCCTTGTGCACCTTTAAGATTTGAATACAAACCTCCTAGACTCACAGGTTCATCATGAATATGAAACATTGCTCCTAAAGGCACCTATTTTATTTTATCATCTATTTTACAATCTTTACATTTCATACTTAGAGATGTTTATTTTTGCATGAATTCAGGAGTTTTTGTTGCTTTTTTTCCTGTTTTACTGAACCCGTACTAAGACCATCAACCTTAAATGTTTTGTTCTGTTGCCATGGTTACAGTTTCTCCACATCCATCTGTATCTAACACATCAACATGTTTCTTCAGTGAGTGTTTCTCTGTTCCCCGCTCTCACCCCGGTATCCCTCCGGCCTCCATCTTGTTGGCCACGGTGACGTCGGTGGACCAGACGTCGTACTGCCACCGCTTCTGACCCAGAACTCCCCCGAGAACCGTCCCGCTGTGGACCCCCACACGCATGTCCACGTCAGTCTGAGTCTTCTCTCTGACGTACCTGTGGAAGAGTAACAGAGCACAGACATATGAAGACACAACAGATTCTGGTTTTGTCCAGATTTGTTCTGGTTTCAAACCTCTGACCACCATTACACCTCGAACACAGGAAGGAGGAATCTTAAAAAAAGGACCAGGTACTTTAAGGGACTAAAGGAAAACGTATGAAGATTATAGTTATTCTCCTGATGTGTGAATACGTCACACCTTTACTACAGGTGAACAGAGGTGACAGCCATGACTTCTTTTATCAACTTCAATGAACACTGCTGCATCACTTTTTGTTTAATCTGAAAACACATCTCCTGAAAATCAGCATGAAGACCTCTTCAGGGAAAATGAGCCTCTATTCACACAGCCAAACTTTTATTATCACATTTACCCATGTCCTCACATCAGCTCATACCTGCTTCACGCTGACATTTTGACAAAAAAGGCAGGCTGGGAAATTTTGGGGAAAGTCGAGGTGATTTGTGGCTGTTTGCGTTCACACTTTGCAGCTCACACTGAAATAATTCTGGATGTTTGGTTTGGTGCTTATGTGAATCTGGCTTTACATCGTCAAACTCCTCCATACTTTTTAACTGTTAGATGCAGAGCAGTTTTTCTGAAGGTGCATGCAGAGTGAAAGGCTTGAGGAGGTAAAAAATCTCCAGCAGCACTTTAAGTATGAAGATCAACTTTATTAGACCGACGTGTTTCAGCTCGTGGCCTTCAGCAGGGTCAAGTCCCTTTTAGAGGTTTTTAAACAATAAAATCTCTGTTAACGTTTATGACTTGCATCAAAAAGCACCAAAGCTTTAAAAAGAATCTTACAGTCAGATCATCAGTCGTGTTTTCAAACCCAAAAGCTGCTGCGAGCAAAAGAAAGAGAGCAGCAGCGCTCCAATCAAACTCTCAGGTCTTTTGGGCGTCTCTTAAAGAGGCAAAAGTTATGATCATGACTCTTACAAAGACCGGAGCAGAGGAGATGACTCTCTGAATTTCACAAATACATCGACAACATTTCTGTACTGAAATGTTGCTGATGTATTTTTGCAATTCAGACGACTTCTACTGTTGTTGCCATGGTATCAAAACTTGTATCCATGGTGTTTGATTTTTTTTTTTTACTAGTATCTTACCGAAGTATTCAATTCTGGTATCTTGCAAGCTGTACAGTGTGTGAAACAAGTCTCTGATTTATTTATGTGTCAGAGCGGCTGTGGCTCAGTTGGTAGAGTCAGTCGTCTCTCAACTAGAAGGTCGAGGGTTCGATCCCCAGCTCCTGCAGCAACATGTCTGATGTGTGCTTAGGCGAGACACTTAACCCCAAATTGCTCCTGCTGCTGCGTTGGCAGTATATGAATGTGATTAGTTACTTCTGATGGTCACTTTACTCAGCAGCCTCTACCATCAGTGTGTGAATGACCTGCGGTGTAAAAGTGCTTTGAGTAGTCAGAAGACTAGAAAAGCTCAAGTCCATTTAGCATTTATCAGAGCCTGTAAAAGTCGTTCCATCGGTCTGGAATCTGACCAAAATGTTGCATCACGATCAATCTGACCTCACTCGACCTTTGATGGCCAGCCAGCGCTCACATCTGAGGTCCTCAGAGGGTCGATAACAGCCCCATCAGAGAGATCAATGACCGAGCCAACACATCAAAGCACAAAGCAGCTTTTACAGTTTCGTCCCTCCTGTACTCACGAGATGGCCTCCACCATGGCGAGGCCCATCATGATGGAGCAGGCGGCGTGGTCCTCCCTGTAGTCGGGCAGACCACAGATACAGTAGTAACAATCCCCCAGGATCTTGATCCTCAGCTGGTGGTATTTCTGACAGAGAGAGAGAGAGAGAGAGAGAGAGAGAGAGAGAGAGAGAGAGAGAGAGAGAGAGAGAGGAGAGATGATACCTGCATCCTCAAACAGCTGACACACCTGTGGTATAAATCAATAAACATACTTTAATGCTTATTTTCCCGTAAATAAAATGCTTTAAAAATAGATTATTTCAAAATATTAGTTAGAATGTCTTGTCTATTAAAAGTTCTTGTTGGTTGTCATGATTCTGGAAGTCATCAGTGGGGGAAAGAAAGTCATAAACACAGCTGTAACAGTTTCACTATGACTAATCAGAAGAAATAAGAACCATTAATCTAATCAAACAAGAGATAGAAGAAATCTTCATGTCTACTTCTCAGCCAGGATATCCAACATTTATTTTTATCTTGACAAGATGAAACTTGAATGAAAAACACGTGTGAGTGATTAACAGGAAAAAGTTCTGAGATCAGAGTGTGTGTGAGTGTGTGTGTGTGTGTGTGTGTGAGACTCACAGCAGCCAGTTTGTCGAAGCGAGCGAAGAGTTCGTTCAGCAGTTTGACCAGTTCCTGAGCGCTGCAGGACGACGACAGCTGAGTGAAACCCACGATGTCTGCAAACAGGATGCTGCACAGGACACACACACACACACACACACACACACACACACACACACACACAGGAGAGACACACATCGTGTTAAAACTGGGTGTACCTGTGCTGCAGGTAGGACAGGTGAGACAGTGTGAGGGTTACCTGACGTTCTCGTGGCGGTACATGTACATGGTGTTAAACTGCTGCATCTCCTTCTGACTGGGCTCCTTCTTCATGTCCTGAAGCATCTCGTCTGCTATGTGCTTCGGCAGGATGGACAGCAGGAGGCGCTCCTGAGGACGACAGAGAGACACTTCCTTTAAACTTCAAAATCTGTTGTTCTTACGTTCCTCTACTGAAAGACTCAACGGGTCAAATGTTTATTTTATTTACTTCATCACAACAACTGGAGGACAAATCAAATTTTTTATGTATTTTAATGTATTTTTAATTTTAATGTAATGGTTGTCAGCTTTAGAACTGCACCCTTTAAGGTGAGCTGTGATTTACACTGTGTCTGGATGCCTTAGTGGTGGAAACACTGGACTCAATGCACAAAGGAAGCATGGGTCATGGCCAACTGCCGGACAGCGTGAGGTAATTAATCGAGTTTCAACTTATATTAAAAACCACAAGCAGGTGGGAAAGGGCCCTCGCACCTTAGTGCAAGTCGGGGGTGTGGTGCAACTAGAGGAGGAGAGGCAACATTAATCCAGACTCTATAGACTCTCATCAAACACGTAAAGCTTTGGTCATAGCGCTGGCCTTTAACAATAGATGGTACTATGACCAACGCCAAGTAAAGGATGTTTATCTGTTGAGGCGGGTTAACATTTTGAGCGGACAGAATGAGTGATTTGAGGGTAACTACTGCCTCTTACCAATAGGAGGCGCTATGTTTTTTAATTTATTTTAAAGTCTTAATATGTGATTTTTCACACTTAAATGTAGAAATCAAGTCTATCCTCTGAAAATAACTCTGTGAGTCATGACTGTCTACAATGGGTGTAACACCCGAGTCCCACTGTCTGTGATGTTTTCAGAGTTTTCAGAGTCCTATCTTCACTTT